AACATTCAACCATTTAACGAGATAATATAAAATCAAGAACTAAGGGTACTGAAGCAGTTCAAATGGCAAGGAAGATACTGGGGGCGGGTGAGTGGAGTCTAAAGGAATTGGCAAAATATCAATTGATATGTTTCAACAAGCAAGGCAGTGCTAGAGGTGCCCATTTCAAAGAAAGGTGACCCAACAGAATGCAGTAATTATTGAATAATATTATTACTACCACAAACAAAATTTTGTTGAAGATCATTTTTAAATGGTTGCTTTACTACTATAATATGCATATATTTTCAGCACATACAAAAACACACATAGAAATATCCTCTGCCAAACCAATATGTTGTCATGAGTGTACTCTTCCTCACTTACCTATACCAGTTCACCTTGCGTGCCTGCCTACCAGAAGATTATTGTCCTTTATTACTGATATTTTAGAATTTTGTTTTCTGTAATTTTGGGCACCTTTTCAGGCCTTCCTTTGCCTTATTGATGTTGTGTTAATCAATCCCAAATTGTATACTGCCTTGTACATCACTCAAATTATTACATGTCTTCCACCTAGTTAATGATTTTCCCTCTCTTCCTTTGTCATCCCTCAAGAAAAAAAGAAAGAAAGAAAAGAAAATCACTGCCCTCGAGTCAATTATGAGTCATGGTGATACTATTCCAATGGTATCAATTATGTTTTTAAACTTTTTATTGTGGATTACATGAACATTTGCACATAAGGTTATCTGTTTTAGGTTCAATAAAGGATACACTTTGTTTCATATCTCAATGATTGCAATCCCCTCCATGCACCAACAGTTATTATCCTGCTTCCTCCATGTGGTTTCTGTTTGCTTTCCAACCACCTTCCCATACCTTCTCAACTTTGTACTTAGGAAAATATTGCCATTTTTATTTTTCATGGTTGACTCTTCCATGGTGACATTACTTACTAGTGTTGTTGTCCCCCCTATCTACCTATCTACTACTTGCCTGAAAATTGGGTCATGAGGGTGAGTTCCTTCTATAACTGAAGGGTTTTCGAAGGCCATAGTCTCAGGTTCCTCCAATCTCTTTCTGAGCAATAGACATGGTCTTTTTTGTTGTTGTTGCTTTTTTTCAATAACCGAGTTCCACATTTTCTCTCACTATATTCTGGACCCTCTAGTGTAATCCCTTCCAGAGCAGTTGATTGTAGTAGCCAGGAAGGCTATAAATCTTTACAGGAGCAGAATGTCTCGTGTTTGTTTTACTGAGTGGCTGGTGGGTTTGACTGCCAACCCACAATGCTAACTTTCAAGTTAGCAGCCCAGTGCTTATCCTACATTACCACACTATCCTTGATAACCATCAAAGAATGTTTCTTAATGCTTGTAAACTTTTTCTTGATTTTTTATAACTGGTCCATATAATTTTTTTTTTCTTTTTGTCATCGACATTTCTCTCAGCATAATATTCTCCAGGTTAACCTACATTATGAGGCATTTTAAGGATTCTTTGACATTCTTTAACACTGAATAGTACTCCACTATCTGGTAGTGTAGTGGTTATGAATCGGGCTGTAAACTGTAAGGTCAGCAGTTCGAAACTACCAGCTGCTCAATGGGAGAAAGAGGAGGCTTTCTGCTCCCATAAAGATTTACAGCCTCAGAAACCCTGTACAGTGTTGCTATGAGTCAGAACTGACTCTATGGCACATAACAATAATTACATGTGTAAGTAGCATAGTTTATTCAGCAAAAAGATTAAAACAATCCTCTCTTTTGTGAAAAACAAACAAACAACAACAAAAAACTGTACTTTGCTGCTGTACATTAGTTTTAGAGATACAAGTAGAACTGTTTAGGTGCCATATTTAAAATGAAACTACCTACTATTTTTTTATTGCTGATTAAAGAAATTTGCTACTCATGTCCTATTTTTTTGCCTCTATATTTACCCCTCTGTTCTATTACTTGCATTTGTCTTTACTTATTTTTATTATCCAACACAATGAGTCTAGTTTGAGTTGTAGAAGTTCCATAATTAGTAATTTTAAAATGTATTATAATCACTCCTCATTTCATAAACCCACCATCTTATTTCCTTTAGTTCCTTTCTTATGACATCCTTTTAATTCATAATTGTCGCCCCTTGAAATTTTTTGAGAATGGTAGTTTTCTAATATTGTTTCTGGACCAATTCTAAGAATATATTCTTCCTACCAATATTTATCATTTACATTAATTTGTCTCCTTTTCCCTTTGGATTCCAATACTGAATATAGCAAAGTTATCAAGGAATCCTTTAAATGTTGTTGATAAAGAATGATTGTAACAAAAGCTGGATGAATTCTAAAGGAACAGAGAACTTTTACCAAAAAATATTTAAGTGAATTTAATCATAAAAGAAGTAACCAAATTTCCTAACTCTAAACGAAGTAAGCTGTTAAAAGAATAAGCCCTTATGATCACTCCAGAACAATCAGAATGCTAGAGAGAATGCAGAAAGATATGCTATAGTGCTTAGAAATGGGAAGTCCAGTTAGGAAAGAAAAAGAATCTTAAATTATGACAATAAATAAAGTTATAGATTAATCAACTTCAGTATAAGAGTGAATCCATTGTTACTTGGCTATAATATAATGGAAAGGGCTGGATACTGTTAGTTTCTTTGTACTGTTATAACAAAAATACCACAAGAGGGTGGCTTTAAAAGAAATTTCTTTTTTTCAGCATTTAGGAAGCTGGAAGTAAAAATTCGGAGCACTGGCTCTAAGTGAAGGCTTTCTGTCTGCTCTAACAGAAAATCCTTTTATCTTTTAGCTCTAATATTTGTTTTCCTGGTCATTTCCACATTGCATTATTTGTTATCCAATTGTGCTTTTTTGCTTCTGTACCTAATTTACTCATTTTTTTTTTTTCATTTCAAAAGTGATTGGCTTAAAACATTCCTTAACCTGATACGTATGCTTTTGTGGGCTAATGTGTCAGACTGCAAAATCATTTGAACTGCAAGGTAGGTGGTTCAAGCTCACCAGCTACTCCTTGGAAACCCTATACAGAGTTGCTATTGGCCAGAATTAATTCAAGGGCACTTAACAACAACAACAACAGCACTGATATGGTTTGATAAATAATATAACAAGAAATCTATTCTCTAATAGGATTACATCTACAAATATAGAGGTTAGGATTTACAACACATGTTTTAGAGGGACATGATTCCACCCATAACAATTGTGTAGGCATGTTTCCAGATTTTTAAAACATGCATTTGAAAAAATATATAATATTTGGCTATTTAAAAATATAGTTTGCCTCTTACCTTGCAATTCTGTGTGCAGCACCTTCCAGAACCACAATCCATATCTTTTTTGATTATACATGTTCTAGCATCACAGCATCGTTTATGTGTACAAGTCTGTAAACAAATATTAAGTGTCACTTATGTATAATTATATGCTACCAAGTAAAACTGCAACACAAGACTTCCTTACAAAGTGTATTTTCTTAAATTCATAGTTTCAGTAATCACATTATTTACATGAAATTAGTAGAAATCAATGTTCCATATAGTAATTTGTAAAGGAAATGTATTGTTTTCCCCAACATTTAATATAGTTTGAACAATGCTAACATACTACTATGGAGCCAAAATTATAAGGGATCACACTTATAAACAGCTGCAGGTTAATGTGCTGGGCTGCAAAGATGGTTTTTGAACCATAAGGTCATTGGTTAAGCTCACTGGTGGCAACTCAGAAACCCTATGAAGGGTCACTATCAGTCAGAACTAACTCAACGGTGCTTAATAACAACAACAACTACAACATGGGCAAGATATTGAATAATTCAGAAAGCAACAAAAGAAGACGGAAAAAATGAATACACAGTCACTATCCCAAAAAGAAATGGTCAATGTTCAACCATTTCAAGGGGTACCATATGTTCAAGGGCCAATGAAGGAAGAAGTCTAAGGTACACTGAAGTCATTGGTAAAGAACAAGGTGCTAGGAATTGATGGACTATGAATTGAAATCTTTCAACAAACTGAGGCAGCATTAGAGTCAATGACTCATCTATGCCAAGAAATTTGGAAGAGTTACCTAGCTAATTTATTGGAAGAAATCCATATTTGTGCACATTCCAAAGAGAGGTTACCCAACAGAATGTAGAAATACATGGACAATATCATTAATATGATACAACCTTGTTTACTGAAAGCGAAGTGGACTTAAAATCCTTACTGGTTAAAATCAAAGAACACAGCCTTCAGTAAGGGATGCAACTCAATGCAAAGAAAACAAAAATCTTTACAACTGGACCCAGTAAATAACATCATGATAAAAGGAGAAATTATTGAAGTAGTTAAACACTTTACTGTACTAAGGTCTACTATCGACACTCATGGAAGCAGTAGTCAAGAAATCAAATGGCATATTATACTAGGCAAATTTGCTTCACAAGTGTTCAAGAGCAAAGATGTCAGTTTGAGGACTAAGGTGCACATGACTCAAGTCACAATATTTTCAATAGTTTCATATGTATGTGAAAATTGTACAACGAATAAGGAAGACTGTAAAAGAACAGAAGCTAGCCACCTAGTAGACATAACAAACTGTCCCTCATCTGATTATTCAGTAATGCTTGTTAGTAATCTCATACATGAGCCCTGGATATCCACAGACAAATGTAAAAACCTTCCCTA